CCTTACCGTTCCAGATGTAGACATCTAAAGCCCTTTACTAAATCAAGAAAAAACATGAGCAGAAGCTATCATTCCAAACGATACACTTCTGATTGAAGACCTAACATGAGCTTCATTTCTTCTGTCAGTCAAGATGACGAAACCTTAAATGATTATGGTTTAATATCAGCGGTTGACAGTTCTAGTCGTTAGTAGAGATGTTTATGTGCGCTTGTCTGTTTTGTGTGTACGTTTGGGCGTGTGCGCGCTCTCTCTCTCTTTCTCTCTCTCTCTCTGTCTCTGTCTCTCTCTCTCTCTCTCTCTGTCTGTGCGCGTGTGTGTGTGTGTGTGTGTGTGTGTGTGTGTGTGTGTGTGTGTGTGTGTGTGTGTGTGTGTTGTGTGTGTGTGTGTGTGTGTGTTGTGTGTGGTGTGTGTGTGTGTGTGTTGCGTGTGTGTGTGTGTCTGTGTGTGTGTGTGTGTGTGGTATGTATGTGGTGGTGCGTATGTCTGTGTGTGTGTGTAATGATAGGAAAAATAAAGATGACAGTAATGAAACAATTACAAAGATAATGATGTGATATAATAATATGACGAAAAGTGACGCAAATGGTGATATTCATAATTGTAATAATGATGATGATAATGATATTGATAAAGATTATAATAATGATTATGATGATAATAGTAGTTATAATGATGGTAGTAGTTATAATGATAATAATGATAATAATAAAATGATAGTGATAATAATGGTAATATTGATGATTATGATCATATGTAAAAAAAAGGATAACAATAGTGTTAATAATGATAATAACAGTAATGATAATGATAATTATCACAATGATTATAATAATAGTAATGATAATTATAATGATAATGATAATAATGGTAACATTATGATTAATGATAATAGCAATAGTAATATTAATAACAATGATGATAATAGTAATGGCAATATCAATGATAATGATAACAATCATAAGAAATCAACATCAACCACAACAACAATAATGATATGATAATATCAATGATAGTAACAACAATGTAAGCAATGATAACGATATCAATAATGATAACAATAATGATTATAATGATAATGATGATAATAATAACGATAATGATATGGTAATGGATAATGATATTATGCTAGTAAAAGAATAATAATAATAATAATAATAATAATAATAATAATAATAGCAGTAGTAATACTTATAATAATAATAGTAATAGTAATAAGAGCAATGCAAATAATAGTAATAATAATGATAGTATCATAAACAATGATTATACTTTTACAATCATTATAAACTATCATTATAAATATATCATAAATATCAAAATATATCATCATTGTTATTATCATTATTATCGTAATTATCATTATCATCATCATTATCAATATTATTATTATCATCATCATTATTACCACCATTATTATCACCATCTTTATAACTATTATTATTACCATCATTATAATGATTACAATAAAAATGACTGTAATAGTAATGATAACAATAATGGTAGCAATGATAATATTCATATCAATAATGATAATGGTAATAATGATAACAGATTCAGTTTCAATTCCATTTGTTACAATGGATATTCTTTGCTGTGACATACAGTCTGTTTTATTTTGCTTCTAAATCGCCCCCTGTGTGCAAGGAATGGCCGGGGTTACCGTTCACTGGTAGCGCGCAGGATCGAACGCAGGTCAGCAAGATTGCAAGCCCAGCACGTTACCCCTGGACTACACAGCACACAATATTAACGATGATAATAATAATGAGGATAATGATAGATATAATAACAATATTCACAATAATTATAATAATGATAATAATAATAATTATGAAAGATTAATAATAATTATGATAATGATAATAATAGTAAGAATGAAAATTATAATAATAATGATGATGATGATAATAACAACGACAATAATATAATTCTTTTATATTTTAATTTTCATTATTATTTTTATTATTATCATTTGTTTTATGTTTATAATCATTGCAAATAATGATAATAATTATAATGATAATAATGGATAATAGTAATAACAGCAGTGATAACAGTTATGGTAATGAGAAATATTGACAATGATAACAGTAACAATAATGATAATAATGATAAGAAGAAGAACGATCATGATGAGGATAACATTGATGATAATGATAATTATCATAATAATGATAATTGATTAATTGATTGGTGATGCAGATGAAGATAATAATGACAATAATAATCATAATGATAATAATATAAATGATGATAGTAATAACAATAATATAAAATAATAAAATAAATAATAATAATAACAACAATAGTAATAATAATAACAATGATAACAATAATAATAACAATAATGATAATAATAACAATAGTTATAATAACAATGATGATGGTGATGACGATGAAGATGATGATGATGACGATGATGAAGATGAGGTTGATAATAATAGTAATTGTATCATTAAAATAATGAGCTAATTAGTTGCAAGAAAATTTGTCAAAGCAATTTGTTTAATTTGACTCACATTTATATGATTTGAAGCATTATAACATGCACAACTTATTTGTATTAGAAATTATATGTGTATATGTTAGAATTTATATTTGTGTAAGGTGTATGAGAAATTACTGTGACACGCTGCGCATCTTTCTGTTGTTTTGTATAATGTTTTGATGTAGTAACCGCCCTGCGCCTCGTGGAGACAACAAAGGCCCGAGCAGAGAAAGGGAAGGTTTAACCCTTTTTTTCAATTTTCTGATTGATTTGGAGTTAGAATACCAAATGTGGAAACACTTAGCATGGTATGTAATTTCCTTAGTTTATTATAATGATTGAACATGAAGTTATGCGCATAAAACAAGTGTATTTACCAAATAAGATGCAATGTTATGTGTGTGTTGTTATTCCCGTTATTGAGTGAATGAGAATCTGGTGATGAATTATAATTTGTATGTGAGAGACTGCAATATTAATTTGGTTTGCAGGAGTTATTAATGTTCTGAAGAGGTTTATGGCTGCCACTGTACTCTGGACTTCATCTGGAGTAGGCAACGAAGTGAGGTATCAGTTTTGCAATTAATAGTAGATTAATATGAGGAAAGTTAATAAATGAGGTGGTAAACAAGAAAAGATGACATTATTTGAGATATAAACATTAAGATGAATTGAATAAAGTATTAAGGGATGAAATTATATTAAGGAAATTACTGTCAATATGTATTAATATATTTATATTAATCAAAATGCTATTATTTGTGTTGATGAGTTTGTTGTGTTGATGGAGTTTATTTCGTCACTATTTACATAAATCATTAATGGTAAATGAAATTAACAAACATTATTACCTGGAAATAGGCTGTGTATATTTGATATTGATGTAATTATTTGCAGGTTGAAATCTTTGTATGGTATAATAAACCAAGTTAAACACGTTGTTTAATAATAATAATAATGATGATATCAACACCAAGAACTATAATAACTATCATCATGGTAATAATCTCATGACGATAATGAGAACGTAATGAACATTAACAATAAAAAAAAAAACCTTTTGAGCCCCCAGTCCCTCTCCCCTCGTCATGTTGGCTCACCTCCATCGAGAACCTTCCTCTTTTTTCTCGCATGAGAGGCTGAATAAATTACCCTGGACCCTCAAGACGATTATCGACTTGTCATACCGTGCATTGCCTGTCATGAAAAGGAGCGTCTCATATCGGTGTCCATTCACCCATTCCGCCTGTGAGGGTTTTCGCTCTCGGGGACAAAAGGTGGTTGCGGGGACGGCTCTGGGCGGGCGTGACGTATGCGGTCATTAGGTTAGATTATGGTGATGAGCGGTGGGGGAGGGGGGATGGAGGGGAGGGTGGGGGAGGAAGAAGGGGGATTGGAGAGGTGGCGGGGAGGAGGAGAGGGATGGGGATTGGGGGATGGAGGGGAGGAGAGGAGGAAGAAGGGGGGATGGAGGGAGGGGAGGAGTGGTGGGGTGATGGAGAGGAGGGTGGAGGAAGCGGGGATGGAGGGGAGGGGTGTGGGGATGGAGGGAGGTATAAGGCTGTTATGTGAATGCCTTTTGGTCTTCTCTTCTTCGGCATAAGCCTTTTTTTTCGGCTTGGTATGCTTCTTCCCCCTTCCTCGCTCATTCTTTCGCGTTTCCTTTCTCTCTTTCTTTGTCTCTTTCATTCTTTCTTCCCCACTTTCTTTTTCATCTATATCTATATATCTATCTATCTATCTCGCGCTCGGGGGAGGGGTCGACATCTAATGTAAAAATATTTAAATCTGTAATTGCCAACAATCAAAACTCAGCATGTACATCAAATCATTCAAAATTTACATGAACATGAACATAAAAATTATGAATAACAAAAAGGAAATAATATTCAACGTCTGTTAATCACACTACTATCAACAAATCATATTGCAAAATTATCCAGATTAAAGAACATTGCGTGCAATTGTACCATTCTTTCGGGGAATATACTTCTGTAACGTTTAATTTTGTCATTAGAGAGGCCCTGCCCCCCCCCCCCCGGGGATAGAATCATACGGCTGGCAGGGTTATTTCGCGATCCATGATTGGTCTAAAACATCTGATTCTTAATTTGCCTAATAGCGCTTCTTCTTTTAAAGTTTAACAGTTTTCATCAGTCTTAATTACGTTCCTCATGCCTCATTAGTTATCTAAATCAGCACTGGGAAATATGATCGAAAAATTTAAATTCAAAGGCTTGTTTACCGTATGTGTTTTTCCCTTTCAAATATGGCCTTTTCTCTTCGTTTTTTTCCGCACTTTCTCTCCCTATCTTTCTCTCTTCTTTATCTTTCTTTATTTTATTTTTCTTATTTATGTTTTATTATTGGTAGTTTTCTTTTATATAACCATTATTATATTCATTTTTATTTCTTTTATCCTCTCTTCTTTCAGTGCAGAGTTCTAAATAATCAAAATGGCCGCCGAGAACTTCTAGCATATTCTCTACCGGGAATACAATTAATAATTCCACTACATTCGTTCCTTCGCTGT